AACAAAGCCACTGTATATTACAATGACCTCTGATCTTGGCTTCAGTGGTATCCAGAGTAAAATTATACAAACATGAATTCCATTTAAGTTGTGAAGTTGGAATTAGGAATAGTGTATAAGCCCAAAATGGGTAAGTCTATATTTCATTGTCTCTCTTATCTGTATCTGATGAATATCTCTGATGGTGTATCTTGTTATGTATTGACTTTCAATGAATGGAAATGAGCTCTGGAGGTACTCAAACCTAGGTTTGAGTTTGAATCTCTATTTTCTTCACTCACTCATCCATTCATTCACTTACTAAGTCCTTCAGAATCTGCCTCAAGTCTACATCACTAATCTAGATCTGTCTCCATCCCATTAACCCATAACCATCTTTCCTCACTTCTAACTTCATCCATGTAGTTCTCTGTTGATGTGAATATGATATTTCAAACCTCTGTATCTTGGCATACATCTTTGCCTTTACTTGTAGTCCTTTCTGGTCTGGTGCCTACTACAAGCATCTTCCCTTCAAGACTCAATTGGCATTGAGTCCTATGGGGAACTTTTTAATAAAGACACAGGAACTGTTCAGGACAACAAAGGAAAGGTTTAGTATCTGGTACTGCCATTTACTACAGGATGAATTTAGGTCATCTGATTTCCTCAAATATAATATAGTTATAACAATTTTACCTAACAGAGGGACAGATGAGATTATACATACAGTAAACTGTAGGAAAGAAAAAGATTCTCCCCTACTCTTTCAGAATCTCCCTCTGGGTCTAAGAATTAAACTGAGATAAGCAGATTAACAGAAAACCATGGGTATTTTATTTTATAAAAAGTTTTACATGATGCTGGCATGATGGTACATGCCTGTAATCCCAGCACTTGGGAGGTTGAGGCAGAAGGGTTGCCACAAGTTCGAGGCCAGCCTGTGCTTATGTAGTGAGTTCAAGGCCCTCCTGAACTACATAATGAGACCCTGTCTCCAAAAAAAAAATAGTTTTACATGAACTTGAGTGTCCTCACAAGAAAAAGAACTAAATAAGGGCTTGGTTTCTATATTAGAGTGAACAAAGAATAGCATTTGTGGAAAAGTAACTAGGGAGATTTGGGTAAGTATAAAAAGGTTGTATCCTCAACTCCCTGTCTATAGAGAAGTAGGCTTTCTTTCTACCTGGAATAGGAAGGACATCTTTCACATGAGAGTTCAGTTTCTTGCCTTCAGAAAGAAAAAAGGAAAGTCAGAGTGATCTTGCATCTACTGTTTTTCAAGTGTCTTTAGCATAAAATAATCAATATACCAAAGCAGCATATTTCAGGGTAGCATGCCCTGAACTCCAACATTTAGCAGGTATCAACAGGTACCAGCAGAATATTCCATCTTATTTTCCCATCGCTCGGACAAAATACCCAACACATACCCACGACTTTAAAAAAAGGAGAGGTTTTTTTTCGCTTACGGTTTTAGTCCATGGTAGGCTAGCTTTAAGGCAGAAACAGGATGGCAGAGGAGCATGGCGGAGGAAAACATCCTCAAGCCAGGACAATCAGGAGGCAGGAAGAGAAGGAAGGAATCTAGGGCAAGAATACACCCTTCCAGGTCATGTACCCAGTGACCCACCTCCACCCAGACCCCGCCTCTTCACAGCTCATGCAGTTACTGATCCCATCAATGGGTAAGTCTACTGAAGAGTATAGCACCCCCGTGATCCAGTCACCTTCAAACACATGAGACTTTTGCAGGATATTTTAGATCTCAACCATAACATTCCCCTTCACACCCCACGATCCTTACATAACACTTCCTACAGAGCCGTCCTACAAATTACAAGTCATCTGTTTACATCTTTCTTTTCCCTACTAGTTTGTGAGTTTCCTTACCACTGAAGCTGTTTCTTTTTTGCCTCCGCAACCCAGGGCATAAGAGTGCCTGGGATAAGAGGAGTTCTAAGTCAATCCCAATCAAGTGAAGGATCTTAGTAGAGTCCAGATCTGAGTGTAGAGTCTTCTTTACCCTCAGTACTAATTCATGCTGTGAGGGCGATATACCATCCCATCCTCCATAGGGAAGAAGATAAGAGAATGAGCAGGGCTAGAAAGGTGAGGTTGCAATGTTGTGGAGAACAATTTGAAATAAGATGGAGTTGTGTAACCCTAAACGTGCTGTAACCCTAAAGTGTGCTGTGACTTTAAGAGTGCTGTGAGTGATATGCAACCATAAGATATAGAAGTAGAACCTTAAGCGGTATGGAATTGATAAGGATGTAGCCCGAACTGGACAGGGCGTGGTCCAAAATGGACAGTGTGATAAGTCTGAACCAATACCACAAACGCCCAGTTAGAATAGTATAAAAGGACCTGAAGACCTCAAGCAAGTCGGCGATCCATCCCACCGACCAGTCTACTAGTCAGTCTGTTGATCTGACTACCGACCGGGACACCTGCACCTGATCCCGCTGGAAGAAGCATCGCCGCCGACCAGACGAGACCAGAGGACGAGGCCAGCGGAGAGACGGACAGCCTAGGGCCGACTCGACGCCCTTCGTCTACGGATCGGACCCTCTGGCCCCGCGGGAGGAAACGTCGCGCTCCCATAAGGACTTGCGCAGTACAGGTACAGGGACGTGGTCATCGGCAGACTTAATGTTGTCTTATTTAATATCGTGTGATAATTGCATAGAAGTGAATTATAATAAGATAAGGGTGTGAGCTGCCATCCGAGTCCGAGGCCTCTTTACCCGCGGGACCTGCTCGCGACAAATGTGTATCTGATAAAACATCCAGAAGACGTTTTCATTGTTGCCTCAAAGGAACCGCAAGTCAACTCTTCCCTGTATGGCAATCTACAGTGTCTTCAATCGCGGGGCGGGGTAAAGGCAGACAAGGCACTGAAATTCCCAGGGTCGACTTTCTGTGAGGAAAAAAACCTGAAAGAACAGGTGAGGACCCACCGCAAGTAGAGGGACGCGCGGGCTGGTGGAGTGGGACAGCGCAGGCTCCTCGCGGGCTCCGCCCCCTCGTGGGGGTTCGCCTCGTCCCGCAGTTGCTAGGCAACCAGTCCCGGAAGTCACTGGAAGCTCATCCGCGGAGACGCCGCAAGGCGGCAGAAGATGGCGGAGGGCGGCGGCGTAGAGAGGGAGGAAGCGGAGAGGAGTTCTTCCAGGCCGCGGCCCCCAAGCGCGCGGGATTTACAGGTGGGGGAACCTGTGGACGGAGGAAGCACGGAAGAGCTGGGCGGGTGAAGGCGCGGGCCGGCGTGGGTCGCCTTTGTCTATGGCTGAGCCTTCCCGTGTCCCCTTCAGAGGATTGAATTGCGACTCCAGCGCCAGGGTCTTCCCGGGGAGACGCATTTGCACAGTGGCGGTTGTAGAAACAGGTGCCCGAACCTCCACCGCCGGTGCTTCCTATGTACAATGCAAGAAGCACCTGTTTAGAGTGGTATTTTATGAGGTCGGGTGAGTTACGGCTTTATCCTGAGACTTACTGTGATTTATTGTGGCAGGTGGTAAATCAACAGCCACATAACAGTATAACATGTTCTGGCTTTTTTTTTTTTTTTCATGTCTGGGTTGCTCCTTCTGACACGATTCCTTAAATAAAAATTATCTTACCAAGTAGCCCTTCTTTTTTTAAGGAGGTAAACTAAATCATTTCATTCTACAGCCAATGTATCCTGGCTGTAAAAGACAGTAAAACGATGCTTATGACAAACGAAAAAATAAAATTTTGTAATGTTACAGAACACAGACGTTAGCCAACTATTAATGCATCATCTTAATTTTATCAGGCGCTAACACCACTTTCCTTATGTTAGACTTTTTTCTGTCTCCTTATAGAGTTGTAGATAAAATTCAACAAGTAAACAGCGGTAAGGAGTTATAATTTAAATTAAATGAAAGTGAATTGATAAATCTTGGCAGGAAAGATTTATAGCCACATCTTCATTCTACTTCAAAGAACACACTGACCAACTGCCAGGTAATTTATTCATAAGGTCTGGGGAATGCACAGAGAAATTGTACATCAAATTTGGGGTCAGTGCTGTGTACTGGTGAAGGGTATTAAATAAAATTTGTAGGACACCATGGATTTGGAGGAGGCATCTAAACTGGACTCAGTGGACTAATACAATGTTTAATCGCAATAAACTCAGTTTTGGTGGATCATAAGTGGCCCTGTAGCAAATTAACTGGTTAAACTGTAATCAGTTGGGTGGTTGACAAAGTTGTACCCAATTAAGTAGTTTTTTGTGCCTCACTTTTCTGTAAATGCTGTGGGATTACATTGTTGCTTGGAGTTGTTCTAACAGTACAAAAGTATAAAAGGCATTTCTACGTTTTGGAAACCTTCACACCTTTTTGAGAAGTAGGATGTGAATACATTTAACATAGCTTTTTAAAGTAAAGCATCACCTAAAATGTACCAATAAACTTAATGAAGGAAAAAAAAAAACAAAGTAAAGTATCATTGAGCGCCAAAATAACATGAAGAATTTAGAGAATGGAGAGATCAGTTTAAGATTAGGAAATGACCGGTAATAGTTCCAGTGACAGTAGTGGAGTCAGTAGTAATAATTCAAGAAACAGCTTATCCTTAAGCTGTTTTATACCTCATCTTTTCTAATATGGACCTAAGAGATGGTATGAGTGTTGAGAAAAATGGATCAGTGGCCAGATCAACTTTGATTTATATCTTGGACTTGGCAGTTAGTACCGTAGTGTGTGAATTTAGGAGAAATTTATTAATATGTTTGATCCTATGTGCCTTTATTTGTAAACTGAAGGTGATAGTTGTGGTGGTATAAGGATTAAATAATGTCATAAAAGAGTCTGAGCACAATTTCTGTATTATCCTTATTCTTTGCTTGTCAGATGTACTGTAACTTTTACCAGTTAGTCCACTCTAATGTCATTAAAATTAAACATCTTAACCAACTGACCCATTTCTCCTCCAGAATAATGTCAAAAGAAAATGGTTTGTTTCCATATAAGTTGGAATTTAGGGCAGGGGCTGGATTAGGGATTCACTATTAGGGTTAGGTTTTGACTTGATAAGAGTGGTCTGGATGCTTCAGGCTTCATTTCAAGTTCTTCATATACTAAATTCTAGAGGAAAGATTGTCAGTACAGGTTAAATCTCTCTTATCTGGTAGGTTTGGGACCAGAAATGTTTCAGATTTTGGAGTCTTTGTGTAGACTTTCCTGTTGAGCACCCCTAATGCAAAAATCTAAAACCCAAAGTGCTCCAAAATCCAAAACATTTTGAACATCATCCTGATGAATTTTCTCTGTATTATTGAAACATCTTCTTAATAAATTTTGAAATTTTGTTATTTATTGATTTTAACCAGTGTTTCAGTTAGTTTTGATTAAATTATCACTTTGTCTCTGGTGTGGTGTCATCTGTTTTGTAAAATATAAATTTAAAATTTTTATATTTACTAGTGAACCTATATTATATGATACCACATGGCATCAATTCTTTCTAAATGTCACTTATTTCAGAATTAATGGTGTTCCGTAAACAACTACAGTAGGTCCTTTCAGCTAGATAGACTCACTACTCTAGTGTCATTTTCCCAGTATACTTACTTTGTTGATATATGATCCACATTCCATGGAGTAAAAATATTATTTTCTCTCTTCATTTGTTTTACATAAGAAAAATGCTGTTTAATAAGCAACATTTTATTTAAATCTTAAAGCAAAAAACAAGGTACAAAAGTACAGCAAATATCTCAATTTAAAAATCTATAACTATATTAAACTGTCTTTATGTTTATGATGCATGTTGTGTTATAGCCTTTATATAATTCAATGTGCCTGTTATATATTATATTATAAAAATTTAGGGAACTTAAATTCCAGTAGGGTAGATAATACAGTAAAAATACACAAATACAGATTGAGTGTCCCTCCGAAAAATCCAAAAATTTGAAATGCTCCAAAATCCAGAATGTTTTGAGCACATGAGTTATGGCTTTTAGAGCATTTCAGGTTTTTGACATTTGGATTAGAGGTGCTCAGTCTATGCAAACATTCCAACATCTGGAACTTTGAACTGTAAAACACTTCTGGTCCCAAGCCTTTCAAATAAAGAGTACTTAACCTATAATGACAATATGATGTTTAAGTGTCATTACAGGATAATATATGCACCAAGGATTTACCCAAGAAAGATATTTAGTTAAGACAATGAAAGTTTTTACATAAAGTATCTTAAATAGGTCTTTGAAATACAGAAAACATTTCCATTGATGAGAATAGGAATACCATGAAAGTAATTCACAGAGCTGTAGTACTATAATTGGCTCTGAAAGAAATTCATAAAAGAATACTGTTTTGAAGAGATATCAAGGAGGTAAAATTAGTGAAAATTTTAGAAACAAGTCAACAGTCAGTTTCTCCCTCTCTTGCTCATTTGTTTTGTTTCATTTTGTTTTTTGGAGGAGACCAAAGGGTAAAAGACCATAGGAGATACATAAATAATACTGCTGAAAGGAAGGAAATACTGGGGAAAATGAATCACTAATACAATTTTTTAGCATAATATCTTCTATTGATGGAGCCCACATGCTGTGTGCTTGATGATTAATCCTTCAAATGACCCTCAAGTGATAATTTTGTATACATTTAAAGATATAAAAATGAAGACTCAGAGAAGTTAAATAATTTACTGAAGATCATACAGTAAGAGCCTAAATTAAGATTTGACTTCATTTCTTTAAGATTACAAAGCAATTTGTAATTTGGATTTCTAGCAAAATTACCATGTTAGAAATGCAAGTTGATGTATGTGTAAGGTCATGGGGTAGAAATGAAGTAAAGAAAATTAGGTAAAAATGGAACCTTTTAGTTTTGTCTTCTTTGTATATATTTTAAAAGTTGGCTCATAGAATTTTCAGAGAACAGAGATATAGCCCAGCAGTATAGTGTTTGTCCCAGCACTGCACCTAAAGAATTAACTTTGCCCTAATTCTCTGTTCTTTTTTTTTTTCTACTGAGGAAAGAATTCATAATGATAGTTTCCATATATTTTGTGCTTCCAAAAGGAGCACTTTGTCTGTTTTGTTTGGGGTTTTTTTGTTTTATTTTAATTTTTGTTTGGTTCTTGGGAGGGGCCACCTAGTGTCTATGGTCATGCCAGTTATAACAGAATAACCACAGAAACTTTAGGAATCAGTTTTTTAGTTATTTTTCAAAGATGTCAAAAGTGGGGACAAATAAATACTGAAATATTTGGAATATTGTTTTAAAATAACATTTGAAAAACAAATTTAACTTTCATTTTGAGGATATCCACTATAATATACAATGAGATAATACTGTATTGCTTTCTAAATGATATACTGTGTAAACCGCATGTGTAATTCATTGGTTTATATTTTTCAGAAACCCATTTGCTAAATTTGACATTTGTCTGAGAGACTTTTAAACAACACTTGAAATTGTTTTATGTACTTGGATTTTGGAAACAGCTAAATGAAATTATTTTTGAGATGATGAAAGAAGCTGACATTAATAAGAAAAAGCTTCAAGAATTCTTAAAAGAATTGGAAGAGGGGCCGGGGATTTAGCTCAGCGGTTTTGCTGCCTGCTGCACAAGCACAAGGACCCAAGTTCGATCCCCGGTACCAAAAAAAAAACAAAAGAATTGGAAGAGGATTATATAGGTCCAAATTTGAAAATGATTTGTAACCTAAGGCAGTTTTTGAAACTTTTGAATAATTAATTGATGGAAAAATAATTAAGCAGTTATTATAACTTTAATTTACTCTAACATATATGACATTTGGTTCTATGAGACATCCAATGAATTTATTTTGAAAATAAGTCATCCTTTGAGGCGACAACCTTCATTTTTTCATAAGAAAATTTTTTCACTGCTCAATTTCAAGTTAATATTATATTCATAAATTGCATAGAGTAATTTTTTTCTAGTATTATACTTTGTAAAAGCCTCTTACCCTACAGTTGGCCCTTGCAGAATTATATGAAGATGAAGTGAAATGCAAATCTTCCAAGTCTGATAGACCTAAAGCTACAGTCTTTAAGAGCCCACGAACACCACCTCAACGGTACGTTTTATTTTTTAAAAATTATAAAAAGCATTTAAGAAGACTCTAACTATAAGCAAAACCCCTTTTAAATTCACAAATCCCAAACTATTCAAATGGCTCTGGGGATTTTTTAAATTGTAATATTTAAAAATTAATACTATTTAGATACTATTCCTAAAAATCTTTATAGTCAAAAAGCTAACAAAAACTTACAAAATTATCTAAAATACCTGTTACTATAGTAGGCATCATATGAAATTGTATTTTGGATGCTATTTTTCTTGGGAATAGTGATTCTTTAATATTACTTGAGTTATAGGATTCATTAAGGGTCTGATGAAAGTTGCAGGCTCTCTCCTTCCAAAGTAACATTCATGTACAATTTTGTCATTTGTTTTTGAGGGTTCATATGTTTGCTAAAGCCCATCCATTCATGAATCTTTTGTCCTCCATTTAAGGATCTTTAGCTTTTGAAGTCTATCCCTGCTGTTCTATGATGCTTTGTCTAGTAAGTGACCTTTTGAATGTGTTTGCTATTCAGATACCACTGTGGAGATCAAAGAGATGAGAATACAGTATATTTTTTGCTAGGAGTACTTCTGTTAACATTTTTTTAGTACTGCAGATCTTATTCCTGGGGAGAAACTTGAATTTTCTGATTATATCTCATTCTCAGAAACTATAATTTTATCAAAAATTGAAAAATTTATCACAGGCCTGCCCACCAGCCACCAGCTTAGCTACACAAGCAGAGTGGTCACGGGATGACTGTGCCCTGCTCAGTCTGGCTTGCTCTGCCCACTTGTGACCAGGAGACCCAGTTGGAGACCCAGCCAAGGCACAGGGGGACTGAAAGGCGATTCTCCTGACCTGCAGAAGTGAACAACAGAGAGAAGGCCTCTCTCAGGCTCCCTGATGAAAACAGGCCCACTGGAAAAGTGAAGAGAATCTCTGCAATAAAGGCACACCAGACTACCATGCTTGGGACTTTCATGATTGGCAGTCATAGACACTGCAATCCTATCCATTCATCGGATGATCTGGCTGAGGATTCAGAGGATAGCACATAGCAGCACTGAATGAGAGAGGCTGGAGGTGTGATGTGGAGGATGCTCCCATGAAGCTCAGTCAGAGCTAGAGTCATCTGCCCCTTCCTGGGAACTGGCCACTGGCACACTGATGACCTTTGCACCCTGCCACATTCAAGTGATTCTTTTTACCAGTCTTCAGGTGGCTCCACTTCTGGAGAAGTTTTTCTTGGTGCTGAGCACACATTCCCCAGCAGTGTTTTTCCAAGTTCCCCGAAAACCCATGGAGACTTCTAGGCTGCCGTAGCACCATTCCCAGTGCAGAGGGGGACTTCTAGGCCGTCATACCACCACTTCCAGCGCAGAGGAGGCTTCCAGGCCATCGTACCACCACTCCCAGCACAGAGGAGATAAGCCAGGTGGGTGCCAGAAGCACAAACACCTCTACACTGCCCCCTCATCGAAATGAGAAAACACGTAAACAAGTCTCAAAACCAGACTTTCAGATCACCTACAGCAACCCAAAACGGAAACAAGATGGAACACACTGATGGTCAACCACCTGAACTCCCTGAACTGGCAACAAAAGAGGATCCGGAGAACAAGAAAACAGAAATAATTTCTCAGATAACAGCAGAGATTGTGCTGATAGTGCAAGACATGATTGATAAATCTACAGAGGAACTCAGGAACATGATGGAATCCCAAATATGAAACAAATGGAATCCATAAAACAGATGCAAACAGATTTCCAGGACATTAAAAACTCCATTGAAAGTCTATGCAGGAGAATGAGCCAATGTGAGGATAGAATTTCAGATACAGAGGATAAGATTGCAGTTATTGACCAGGAAAAGGAAAATTGCTTTAAAATTGTAAGGGACCGCAAGACATCGATCCAGCAGCTGCTACACGATGCAAAGAAGAATAGCGTAAGACTGATTGGAGTCAATGAAGAAACAGGAGAGAGTGCTGATGACATAAAAAAAGCTGTTCACAGAAGTAATGGCAGAAAATGTCCCATGCACTGGAAAAGAACTTTGCATACATATAAGTGAGGCATATAGGACTCCACCTAGCCTTAATCAAAAATAAATCTACACATAGGCATATAATTGTTAAGATTCCAGAAACCCAGCAGAAGAACAAAATACTACAAGCAGTGAGAGAAAAAAAAACAAATCACATACAAAGGAAAGCCCATCAGAATCACAGCAGACTTCTCAACACAAACCCTCAAGTCAAGGAGAGCTTAGAGTGATGTATTCCAATCCCTAAACGAAAACAGCCTCCAATCCAGACTGATGTAACCTGCAAAACTTTCTTTCAAAATTGATGGAGAAATAAGATACTTTCATGACAAAGAACACCTTAGGAACTTCATGAATACCAAACCAGCACTGCAAAAAATTTTAGACAATATCCTAGGAAAAGACAATGAGGATCACAACCCCAGGAAGCACAGCAGAATGAATCTGTCAGGCATGACAAGAAATTAAATGCAAAAGGGGAGAATCCAAGGAAAAAAAGTCATGACAATGATAAGGGAATACGTATCAGTTATAACTATCAAGGTTAATGGTCTCAGTTCACTAATCAAAAGAAATAGATTGGCATAATGGGTCAAGAAGCAAGACCCAACAATATGCTGCATGCACGAAACACACTTAATTCAAAAAGAAACTCATAGACTGAAAGTTAAAGGATGGAAAAAAATACTCCATGCAACAGGAACTGAAAAAAAGCAGGAGTAGCTATCCTCTTTGCAGATCAAGTAGATTTCAAACCGACACTAAGTGAGACAAAGAAGTACACGACATCCTTGTAAAGGGAACAATCCAAGGGTAAGAGATGACAATCATAAATATTTATGCATCAAACACAAGTGCACCCAACTATATAAAACAAATACAGACATGAAAAGTCATATATGCACTAATACAATAGTAGTGGGGGAACTCAATACCCCACTGTCACAGATAGATGAACTAGACAAAAGATAAGTAATGAAGTACTAGAACTCAATCAAACTCTTGAACAAATGAACTTAACAGATGTTTACAGAGTGTTCTACCCCACAAAATCAGAATACACATTCTTCTCAGCTGCACACGGGTCATTCTCCAAAAGAGACCACATAGTTGCACATACAACATAGGTAAATGCAAAGGAATTGAAGTTTATCCCCTGTATATTATCAGACTATAGTGCAATGAAATTGGAGATCAGTAGCAAAATCAACCACAAAAATTTCATAAACACATGGAAATTGAACAGCACACCTGAATAACCAGTGGGTCACAGAGGAAATTAAAGAAATCAGTTCCTTCAATTAAATGACAATGACATTACAACATATCAGAATCTATAGGACACAATGAAAGCAGTCTTGGGAGGGAAATTCATAGCAGTGAATACTCATGTTGTGCCAAGCGAGCTGATAAATCACCAAACACTGGGACTAATGACAAAGTTAAACTGAAAGGGGTTTATTCACACATGTGGACTCCACTCCCTAAGCAAAGTGAAGCCCTGAGTCCAGGAACAGCACAATTTATATAGGGTGTTATTTTAAGAAGAGAAGTTCAAGGGGAGGTTAACATGTTTTTGACTAGTTGCAAAAGTATTTTTCACAACTCAGCTATCTCGCTGTGTCAGGTTAGGGCAATTTACAGTAAAGAGAGGCACCAGGCACTATCTCTTTCCAAGAAGCAATGAAGCAAGTTTACAGAAGCAGAACAAGCAGTTACAAAAACATCTACTTTATAAGGGAAGGGGCATGAGGGGAGTTTATCTACAGGCCAAGATGGCGTTTCTTGGATTTATCCTGGTCTCACAACTCATATTAGGCAAAGAGAACAAGCCCAATTAAACAACCTGATGTTGAACCTCAAGCTTCAAGAAAAAGAAGAGCAGGACAAACCCAAAGCTCATACAAGGGAGGAAATTATAAAGATCAGCAGAAATAAATGCAATGAAGACTAAGAGAATGATACAAAAAAAAAATCAATGAAGCCAAGAATTGGTTTTTCGAAAGAATAAACAAAATTGACAAACCCTTAGCCAAACTTATCACAAAAAGGAAAGAAAAGGCCCAAATCCATGCAATTAGGAATGAAAAGGATGAAATTACAACAGACCCAGCAGAAATCTAAAAGATCATCAGTACCTATGTCGAGAACCTATATGCCAATAAGATGGAAAACGCAGAAGAAATGGATAGATTCCTAGATATGTATGAATTACTAAAGTTGAATGAAGAAGGCCTAAAAATTTTAAACAACCCAATATCAATCAATGAAATGGAAAATTTAATTAAAAACTTACCAAATAAGAAAAGCCCAAGTCCTGATGGTTTCACTGCTGAATTCTACAAGACATTTAGAGAGAAACTACTGCCACTACTCTTTAAACTCTTCAGTGAAATTGAAAGTGAAGCAATATTCCCAAATTCATTCCTGGAAGCAAGCAACACCTTGATCCCCAAAGCAGAGAAAGACCCAACCGAAAAGAGAAATATAGGCCAATCTCACTAATGAACATAGATGCAAAAATCCTTAATAAGATATTGGCAAATACAATGCAGAAGATCATAAGATCATTCACCCTGACCAAGTGGGATTCATTCCAGGGATGCAGGGATGGTTCAACATATGCAAATCAATCAATGTAATACACTATATCAATAGAGCCAGGGACAGAAACCATATGATCATCTCAATTTATGCAGAAATAGCATTTAACAAAATCCAACACACTTTTATGATTAAAAACCCATACAAAAAATTGGAATAGATGGTCTCTACCTGAATCTGATAAAAGCCATCTATGAAAAACCAACAGCCAGTATCATACTAAATGGTTAAAAACTGAAAGCCTTCACACTAAAACCAGGAACAAGACAAGGATGTCCACTGTCACCACTCCTGTTCAGTACACTTTTGGAAGCATTAGCCACAGCAATTAGACAAGGGGAAGAAATAAAAGGAATAAAGATAAGAAGTGAAGAAGTCAAAGTGTCATTATTTGCAGATGACGTGATACTCTATATAGAAGACCCCAAGAATTCCACCAAAAGTCTTCTAAACTTAATAACCAAATTCAGTAAAGTAGCTGGATACAAGGTCAACACAAAAATCAAGAGCTTTCCTCTACACGAACAACAGACTCACTGAGACAGAATTAGGACAAACAATTCCTTTCACTATAGCATTGAAAAAACTGAAATATCTAGGAATCACCCTAACAAAAGAAATCAAAAGACCTATTCTCTGAAAACTATAGCACTCTGAAAAGAGAGATTGAAGATGATATCAGGAAATGGAAAGACATCCCCTGTTCCTGGGTAGGAAGGATCAACAGAGTGAAAATGACCATGCTTCCAAAACTACTATATAGATTAAATGCAATCCCAATTGAAATCCCAGCAACATACTTCACAGACCTTGAGAAAACAATCCAAAAATTCATTTGGAACAAGAGGAGACCCAGAATAGCAAAAGCAATTCTAGGCAACAGAGACATGGCAAGGGGTATCACAATTCCCAACGTGCAACTATACTACAAAGCTACTGTGATAAAAACAGCATGGTACTGGCAAACAGACCTGAGGACCAGTGGAAGAAGATGCAGAAACAACTCCAGACAAACTCAGCCATCTCATCTTGGAGAAGGGAGCCAAACACCCTCACTGGAGGAAAGATAGCCTCTTTAATAAATGGTGCTGGAGACATTGGGTTTCAACTTGCCAAACAATAAAACTAGACCTGTATCCCTCACCATGCATGAAACTAAAATCGAAATGGATTAAAGAACTAAATATTAAAATAGGAATGCTGAACCGGCTAGAACAGAGGTTAGGTAGAACTCTTGAAGACATTGGTGTAGGAAAAGATTTTATAATCAAAACCTCAGTTGCCCGTGAACTAGCACAAACAATGAACAGTTGGGATCTCTTCTTACTAAAAAGCTTCTGCACAGCAAGAGAAACCACCAGTAGTGTGAAGAAACAACCCACAATGTGGGAAAAATTTTTCACCTGCTGTTCCTGAGACAAAGATCTACTATCTAGAATCTATAGAGAACTTAAAAAATTAGACCTCATAAATTTAAAGATCAAATCCAAAAGTGGGCATGTGAAATGTACAGACATTTCTCAAACAAAGAAGTAGAAATAGCAAACACATGAAAAAATGTTCAACATCACTGGTCATTAGAGAGATGCAAATGAAAACAACGATGAGATTCCACCTCACCCCAGAAAGAATGGCTGCTATCATGAAATCAACCAATAACAAATGCTGGCTGGGCTGTGGGGAAAGAGGAACCTTGCTCCACTCTTGATGGGAGTGTAGACTGGTGCAACCACTGTGGAAATCAGTACA